CTTTGTCATCTTGCGAGGGGAGAGGTTAGTCATCCCAGAGTGTTGTGTGCCGGAGGTACTCGAGCTGGCACATGATGGGCATCCCGGCATCCCGAAAACCAAGGCACGCCTGCAGGAGTCAGTGTGGTGGCCTGGTTGGGCCAACGCAGCGAAGCGGCACGTGCAAAGCTGCGAGCCATGTGCGCTCGAAGCTCGACCGACAAAGGTACCTCTGCAGCCCAGAGAGCTACCACCACGGCCCTGGCACACGGTTGCCATTGACATCTTCTACTATGGTGGAAAGGCGTTTCTGAGTGTGATGGATTTGTTGTAGTACGTTATTTTGTGTACGTCGTGTGTACGTCATGTTGGTGCATGCGCGTGTTGCTGTGGTATGAAAAGCTGTCTTCGTCTTGAGTTCATCGTGTCTTCGTCTTGAGTTCGTCATGTATAGTTGTGTTTCGTCGTCGTGTCAATAAACAGTCTTCTAAATGTAGTTATCGTCGTCCATTTGTACAAGTGTGGAGATGGCACGGAACTGGGAGCAGGAAGAGAAAGCGAGTTACAACATTGGTGGCAGCGGTAATGGAAATTGTTGTAAACTTCAACTTCTGGATTCGTCCTGCGTGGCCTTCGCTCCCAGTTTCCGATGTCATCTCCAGTCGTCCTATCGTCACAGTTTCGTCCGTTTTCAAGAAGTTCGTCCGTCGTCATCGTCCTTCATCATTCGTCTCTCCCGTCTCTTGTCAGTCGTCGTCACTGGTGGTCCCGGACACGACGTAAAACTGTGCCCAGAAGAAAAGTAAAAGAAGAAGAAGAAGGACGGATGGTCCCGGACACGACGTAAAACTGTGCCCAGAAGAAAAAACTGAAACAGAAAAAAAGAAGGATGGAAGGTGAAGGCTGCAGTGTGAGGATGTGGACGCTGAGCAGCGCTTTGAGATGGCGGACGACATGGCAGACGGCGTGAGGAGTTTCGTTGGTGAGAGGGTACGTGTGTTGTTGTGAACGTGATGAGTATGTGAGTTGTGTATTTTCTGTTCTCCCAACATTTTGTTCTTTATTATTTGCTCTCCTCGAGGGTAAAGAGGCGCCCGCACAGCGCGTGTGTTCTGTTTGTTTTTTGATTTGCTCTTCTATGAGGATAACTAGAGGCCCCCACAGAGCCAGTGGATTTTGTTCTTTTTGCTATTCTTATGATTTGTGCTCTCACGTTTTAGAATTTTTGCGTGATCGTGAGGTGGTGTGTTGAGTGAAGTAACACGTTAGTTAGTTTGAGTTTTTCAGGTTATCAGTTCCCACACGTGTGACAGCGATCGTGGCTGGTGTTCTGGGTGGGCGGACAGAGTTTTTGTAATCTGCAGTGCAGGCAGAGGTATTTTATTTCTGGGTGTGACTGGTGTGGTATGATTGAGTGATTTGTGTGATCTTTTCCTCTTTTTACTCTGTTTTATTATTAGAATCGAGGACGATTCTACTCTTTGGAGGGAGTTATGTTGTAGTACGTTATTTTGTGTACGTCGTGTGTACGTCATGTTGGTGTATGCGCGTGTTGCTGTGGTATGAAAAGCTGTCTTCGTCTTGAGTTCATCGTGTCTTCGTCTTGAGTTCGTCATGTATAGTTGTGTTTCGTCGTCGTGTCAATAAACAGTCTTCTAAATGTAGTTATCGTCGTCCATTTGTACAAGTGTGGAGATGGCACGGAACTGGGAGCAGGAAGAGAAAGCGAGTTACAACAGATTTGTACTCCCGCTATCCACTCGTTGCAGAACTAACCGGCGAGACGTCCTCGCGGGTGGTGACAGCGCTTCGCGCTATGTTCACCATGTTCGGGTATCCAGTGCGCGTCATATCGGACAACGGTCCCCAGTTCGTCAGTGCAGAGACCGCAGCCCAGCTTCGTGACTGGGGCATCCAGCACGAGCGTATTGTCCCGTACACCCCAAGGCAAAACCCGGTAGAGCGTTTGCACCAGACACTCAAGCGCCATCTCAGAAAGTCATCGCAGGCGTCCCTCAAGCGAGCGATGCAAGAGTCGCTCGGTACCCTCCGCTCCACGGTGAATGCCACCACAGGGCATGCTCCGGCAGATCTGTTCCTGCGCGGTGGATTCCGCACGCAGTTGAAAGCTCTGCGCTGCCCCGGTTCAGAATCTGAGGAAGAGGACGATGACGAACTGGATGAAGCCGTTAGAGTGCGAGAAGCTGCAGTGAAGGCCTCTGTCAAGGACAGGTATGACACACGGCATCACACCGCTCCACGTCACTTGGCAGAAGGTGACGCAGTCTTTGTACAGCAAGCCTCCGGCGCGACAGAGAGAGCCACAGTGTTAGAGGCTAATGCTCATGAAGCCACCGTCGAGACCGAGGGTGGTGCCGTCCAGCGCCGTCATCTTGATCAGGTGAAGCCGTGCCGCGCTACGCCCGCCTCAGCGGACACCGAAGTTCCCATGCCGGTCCAGGAAGCGACCGATGTCACAACGCGTCGATCCGACCGAGCCAAGAAGCAGCCTGATAGGCTCAACCTGTAAACTGCTAGTCCCTCCTGCTTTGAAAGAAGGGGAGGTATGTTGAGGTTCGACCTCAACTAACTGAACTGCTACTGATCTGCATGATATCAGTCACCATGTATCTGACTTTGCATTGTCGTCACTACCTACGTGTAGTGCACTGTTAGCTGTCTTTTAGTGTTGCGCGGTATCTGCGTGTCACGTGTTTATTGCTTTGCGCGAGCTTTTCCAGACTTTCAGTGAGTCGTGAGTTTGTGTGGAGAGAGTTCTAGAGAGAGAGAGTTGGAATGGCGGACATGGTTTTTCGAGTGGTTTTCCCTTTTGCTTTTGTCTTGTAGTATTGTCTGAGATCATGATAGTCTAAGTAAGAGATATCTCAGAACCCATCCAGTTGTTGTCTAACAGTCTGCGAACGAGCGAGCCCGACTCAACAGTGACTTTGCGAGGATTTGAAAACGCACGACGCTGAGTTGAATTTGTGTTATTTCAAATAATCGTTTGTGATCACAGTACCACTTCGAGCAGAACTGAATCTTATCCACAAGCTTACCGACGGTCAGGCTGCCAACATGACTGAACAAATGATCCCTGCAAGCACCACACGGCAGACGTCCGAGGCCATGTCCATTGCCGGGATGTCCATCTCCAAAAAGAATTCCACCTTCGTCTCAATGCTACACTGCGACTCGTCGTAGAGTCGTCTACAGTCTAGTACAGAGTCGTCGTACGATCGTAGTCACGCGATCACTGAAATAAACTATTTTTTGCGGGCAAATAAACTATTTTTTTGCGGGCAATATCGCATATTATTGCCCGCGGCGCGAAAGGTGCTGATTCGCTGGAGTACGGGCAACAATCACGTGCCATGTGATAAACTTATATTATCACATGGCACGTGATTGTTGCCCGTACTCCAGCGAATCAGCACCTTTCGCGCCGCGGGCAATAATATGCGATATTGCCCGCAAAAAAATAGTTTATTTGCCCGCAAAAAATAGTTTATTTCAGTGATCGCGTGACTACGACGAGTCTCGGACTCTGTAGACTGTACGACTCTACGACGAGTCGCAGTGTAGCATTGAGACGAAGATGGAATTCTTTTTGGAGATGGACATCCCGGCAATGGACATGGCCTCGGACGTCTGCCGTGTGGTGCTTGCAGGGATCATTTGTTCAGTCATGTTGGCAGCCTGACCGTCGGTAAGCTTGTGGATAAGATTCAGTTCTGCTCGAAGTGGTACTGTGATCACAAACAATTATTTGAAATAACACAAATTCAACTCAGCGTCGTGCGTTTTCAAATCCTCGCAAAGTCACTGCCTGTGTGTGGTCTTCATGTGCCACGCAAAACTCTTACCAGGCTCATCTGTCCTCTGCCTTCACCTTTGCTTGAACAACAAACACAACAATTCAGGAATGTTTTGCAATGAAAAATACAGCTATATCTGGAGCTGAAAAAAAGAAGAAAAATTGTCCTCAGAATTACACACCAGGGAGTCGACAAATCCTTGCACTTGTTGCAGTACTGTATTTGACAACTTCCTGATACACATGTAAACATGAAGAAACTCTTTGTGGTAGCACTCTTAATTTTTCAACTGAAATTATGATTCTGCTGTATTTTATTGTCGTTGCCATGTCTATTGCTATGACGATGCGGTGCCGGCACTTTTTTTCTGTCTCCGTCTTTCAGTACTGTATACTCTCTGATGGCCTGTAGCAGACCTTTTGTTAGGGTGTAGGAGAAATATCTTCATTTTTCCTGTTTTGATGATGATAGCACATCAATATACATTGTGGTCATAATGTGTTGGCATTTGGGCTAATTTCAACAGCAGCCCAATGGTCTGCTCTGTGGGCCATGTGATAAATTTGTTATCGCATGGTTGCTGCGGGCCTTATGGCATAGTATTGCCCCTCGAGGTTAGCCCTCGGGCTAACCTCTCGGGGCAATAATATGCCATAAGGCCCTTGCAACCATGCGATAACATATACGTATAACACCCCTCTTCCCCCCCCCCCCCTCCCCTGGGGAATTTGTAAGCAGCACTACAGTGCATTTCAAAACTATAGACGCGTAGGGTTTTTGAAATATTTCAAATTTGGCTAGAACTTTTTGAGAAGAGTTTTCGGAATATTGCTCAAGATCGCTCCACAATTACTCTCATATAGTTTCTAAAGGATTGGATAACAGACGCCCAATTTGGAAAAAATTATGCACAAAGTGATCACAGATTTTATGTGGTATAGATGCTGGCATAACGGTTTTTGCCTAGGTACGCGTCTATAGTTTTGAAATGGACTGTAGTAGTGGCAGCAGCAGCAGCAGCAGCAGCAGCAGCAGCAGCAGCAGCAGTAATGAGAGTGGATACTGAGCAGCAACAGACACAGACAGTGAGGGAGTCCCAGTGAAGAAGACAGTGAGGGAGTCACAGTAAAGAAGACAGCAAGGTCACCACGCCGCAAAGCAGCCGACGCCAAGCATGCAAGCACAGGACACGCAAAACCGTACCGTGATGTTGATCAGCGCATCAGTTGGCTCTTCGCTGTTGTCATGGTAGAGTATTGCTTGCAGAACTTCACTTGTGATGCCGGTGCTGTTGTTCGAGACAAACGTTGTGTTCTCGGTTACATTTTGTATCAGCTCAAAGCGAAGTTCAGTTCCCGGGGATGTTACATTAGCGATGCTTAAGAATCCTGCTGGCAATGCTGTTGTGTTGTAGTCTAGCCACTGGTAATGATGAAGGTATAAAAATACAATAAGGATCAACGAAGTCATTAAACCATAACCTGACTAGTCTAACAAGAACGCACAATTAGAGAAAAGGAGAAAAACAACTGGGTATGCGTTATGTGTATTATATGAACAATCCACTAACTGAATCAGATTATGACAACTCAGAAATTGGTCATAGGGTGACAAGGAGTACTATGACATTCAACAACCTGATGCCTAGTTCGAACACATCCAACGTGGAGACCATTCGCAGACCACTGCATTATCTAGTTCCCAGGGGTTACCACTCATAACCGAGTCGTACCCAATTGTTTTCTTTTTGTTTTTTGCTTCTCTAAATATATAGTGGAAGTCTCTTCCAGGATCAATATTACAAGTAGTCAACATGACCCCCACATAAAAGCCTACGGTGTCTGATAGTTCCAACCACGGACTGTGCACGTGGCCCAAAACCCACGTACATAGAAATGTGTGGGATCATGTTCTTGCTGATAAATGCGGCTCAAAGTTTGCCATGCTGTAGTTGTAAGCGGCTCACTGAACCCTGTGCTGGCCCGTTCAGTATTCAAGAGACCACTGTATTGGCCAGTTCAGAGTGCATTGGAATCCAGATCAGCCTGACTGAGAGCCGTTATATGCAACTGTGCATGACACGGTGTGCATTCTTTTCTCAACACACCTACTATACTGTGAGTGCATGTTTAGATAATTGGAATGTCCGGATGCTAGTGATGAGAAGTATGTTCCACAGTGGTAAACCGAGTTTTGAAATATCGGGATTCCACCTATAGCAGAAAATTCACTCAACCCCACCCTCCTACACACACACACACCACACACACACACACACACACACACACACACACACACACACACACACACACACACACACAGAGCCATGATCATTGTCAACGCTATGCTTCTGGTCTGGCTACTCAGGGATAGCCCAGAGTCAGCAGCACACTACAGAGACGTTCGGCTTGTGTAAAAGCTGGCTAGTACTGACACTGGAGACTGCCTTTGCAGGCTGAGAAACCCCTCACTATCGAGGTGCAGCGCAGATGAAGTATACTGAGAGCTCAAGTAAAACTCACTGCTGGCGAAACAGTTCCATCCACGGATTGAACGTTGACAACAAGCGTGCTGACTTGACGGTGCATTGTGTTGGTGATATCGCCGTCAGTCAGCGTTGCACCAATGGCAATGGGCAGTGCTCTGGCGCCATCCTCGTCCAGCAGCAGAACTGGCGTTCCATCCATCGTCATCGTGTCTGGGAACAGATGCAGGACTGGAGGCCAGTCATTCAACAGCTCGGTATCCAGCGCAACCGTGTGCAACTGACTCCACTGTGCGCCGTCAAAGACTTGCAGCTGCATTTTGGGGGAAAGTGACAGCAAAAGCATTGGTATACAGGCGAGTTAGCGGGTAACTCTGAGCCTCCCAGGAAAGGATGGACAAAAATCAAAACGTGTGGCTAGAACACAAGCATGAACTGTGGTGCAACTTTAAAAAAGAAAAAAGAAAAAGTGATGACCCAATAGTCTGAAGAAGTACCCAAAATGCAACTCACAGTCAGCGATCTGGGTGAAGGAACTGGTTCTGGTTCACTGCTGGAGTAGTTCAACGTTTTCAGAGCATTCTGAAACAGGTCAGGAAAAGCAGAGAAATCCACACTTCCCTATTGAGGAGAAGAAAAGTATCCACTAACCTTACCTTGGCGAGCAACAAACCACTCTGTGTGTGTGTGTGTGTGTGTGTGTGTGTGTGTGTGTGTGTGTGTGTGTGTGTGTGTGTGTGTGTGTGTGTGTGTGTGTGTGTGTGTGTGTGTGTGTGTGTGTGTGTGTGTGTGTGTGTGTGTGTGTGTGTGTGTGTGTGTGTGTGTGTGTGTGTGTGTGTGTGTGTGTGTGTGTGTGTGTGTGTGTGTGTGTGTGTGTGTGTGTGTGTGTGTGTGTGTGTGTGTGTGTGTGTGTGTGTGTGTGTGTGTGTGTGTGTGTGTGTGTGTGTGTGTGTGTGTGTGTGTGTGTGTGTGTGTGTGTGTGTGTGTGTGTGTGTGTGTGTGTGTGTGTGTGTGTGTGTGTGTGTGTGTGTGTGTGTGTGTGTGTGTGTGTGTGTGTGTGTGTGTGTGTGTGTGTGTGTGTGTGTGTGTGTGTGTGTGTGTGTGTGTGTGTGTGTGTGTGTGTGTGTGTGTGTGTGTGTGTGTGTGTGTGTGTGTGTGTGTGTGTGTGTGTGTGTGTGTGTGTGTGTGTGTGTGTGTGTGTGTGTGTGTGTGTGTGTGTGTGTGTGTGTGTGTGTGTGTGTGTGTGTGTGTGTGTGTGTGTGTGTGTGTGTGTGTGTGTGTGTGTGTGTGTGTGTGTGTGTGTGTGTGTGTGTGTGTGTGTGTGTGTGTGTGTGTGTGTGTGTGTGTGTGTGTGTGTGTGTGTGTGTGTGTGTGTGTGTGTGTGTGTGTGTGTGTGTGTGTGTGTGTGTGTGTGTGTGTGTGTGTGTGTGTGTGTGTGTGTGTGTGTGTGTGTGTGTGTGTGTGTGTGTGTGTGTGTGTGTGTGTGTGTGTGTGTGTGTGTGTGTGTGTGTGTGTGTGTGTGTGTGTGTGTGTGTGTGTGTGTGTGTGTGTGTGTGTGTGTGTGTGTGTGTGTGTGTGTGTGTGTGTGTGTGTGTGTGTGTGTGTGTGTGTGTGTGTGTGTGTGTGTGTGTGTGTGTGTGTGTGTGTGTGTGTGTGTGTGTGTGTGTGTGTGTGTGTGTGTGTGTGTGTGTGTGTGTGTGTGTGTGTGTGTGTGTGTGTGTGTGTGTGTGTGTGTGTGTGTGTGTGTGTGTGTGTGTGTGTGTGTGTGTGTGTGTGTGTGTGTGTGTGTGTGTGTGTGTGTGTGAGCACTGCAAACCACTGTGTGTGTGTGAGCACTGCAAACCACTGTGTGTGTGTGTGAGCACTGCAAACCACTGTGTGTGTGTGTGTGTGAGCACTGCAAAGTGCAAACTACAGTCGTGCTCGGTGAAATCCGACCCAAAGTGCAAATCTAGCGTCCTCGACTTGCACGGCCCTTGACGCCCTGGAAGTGGTATGAATGCTGCTGGACCCGTTGCTCGACGTACACGTGTACAATTACAGTGATGTAATCGGAACTGGTCCCAGTGTGTGTGCCAGTGTGCCAGTGTGCCAGTGTGCCAGTGTGCCAGTGTGCCAGTGTGCCAGTGTGCCAGTGTGTCAGTGTGTCAGTTTTGCACTTTGGGTCGGATTTCAGCGAGCACAAATAGCACAATGGCAGTGACTTATTGACAAGCAAGGAGATGAGCAAACAAATCTTGGAAACAGAGTATTGCCATCCCCCACCCCTCCCTGGTGAATCCAACGTGGAATGGTTTCATACTGCCGTTATCCATCTATGACAAACTATACTATTATGTCACCCGATCAGGAAAATGTTGAATGCACGGTATCATGCATCTTCACCTGCTCTCCCCAGTGCTCCCAACACTTCATGGTTATGCTTCACTTGGTAAGCCAACCAGAGCAAGACAATCAGAGCAGAGCAGGCACAGTTGCTTTATCTCCGGCAAGCATGCACTCAGTGAGAATGGGCACCGCTGCAACACTAGACTTGATGTGACACTGTGGCTAGAACGTATGAAGCAGTGAAGCAACTCCAACCAGTGTCTGGCCTGCCGCTCTTACCACATAGTCGCCAAGAGATGCTTGGTTCTCCAACTGCCAGCAGCGGACATTGCCAGCCAGTACCGTCTATGGTAGAAACGTTATGCACAGAAGGCAACGAAAAGCAAACACATTGCTAAGAGGGTAATGAATAGGCCTCGGTGGTATTCCTAGTGTGTGTGTGCAAAACATGGTCCAATCCGCCGCTCTTTCTCCAGTCATGCTATTACTACTCCTGATTGTCCGTGATGCCAGGCAGGAGTGCTCTGGGGAAAGTCCCTCTTCAGCAGATCCTGGTGACAGGAAGGTGCTCAACTCAAGAGGAAGATGATCATGCCAAGCCTTTCCGTGTCCTAGCAACATACACGTGTTCGTAGGGCACCCTCATGACGCCCCATACAGCAGTTGACTACAGAAGAGACCGGCCCCCACATCACTGTCATTGTTATCATGCAAGCAAACACCACTGCCATGCATCCATGTGCAGTCAAACTACGGCCACTACCAGGTATGTGCACGCTGCATACACACAATGTATCAATACCTGTGCTTGTTATCATACGCTTTACACCCGATTCACATGATGGGACTAGCTCAGTGCCACGGGAAAGCAATGGGACGTGATCCTTAGAGCGTGCCGACGAAGTGGAAAAATGAAAATCAGCTCACACAGCGAGCACGGTGAGAAAGCACCGTCAAACCGTTGTAACAAACACTTTTATAGAGAGGACCTAAGGTTACAAGATATCCGGTTTTTTGTCCAAATTATAGGCATAACTTAGGATAACTTACAACTTATAAGGATAACTCCAAATTATAGGCATAACTTGGTATAACTTACAACTTTTAAGGATAACTCCAAATTATAGGCATAACTTAGGATAACTTACAACTTATAAGGATAACTCCAAATTATAGGCATAACTTAGGATAACTTACAACTTATAAGGATAACTCCAAATTATAGGCATAACTTAGGATAACTTACGACTTAAAGATAACTTGTAACCTTTGGTCCTCTCTTTCAAATTTTAATCCTCGGCTCTCCATCCGAGTCTGACAAACATTTTTCAACGTCTTTTCCGCTTTATCACCGCCGTAACCATGATTGTGTGTGGCCATAGTCAACAAGTCTCCTAGACTCCAGCCAAAGCAAAAAAAGCAGTGGTGTGTGGCATGCTTCAGCATCTCTCGGCTTGCCATGCAGTCCACGACCTTCCCTAGCCACCTGACAACCAAGGAATAGTTCCGGTCTAGCTCGCAACATACTTGGACTCTCCCGTCAAAAGCTTGAGGTCACGTGACTGAACTGCCATGGCAGAATGATCGTGCATGGGCCGATTTTCCCGTTGTGTAAATCCACTCTTATAGCGCGTAGTTCCGCAGAGCAGTTCCTACATATTAGCTTTTGACGCATAGAGTTTGTTTCTGCATATAACATACCATAGTTGTAGTGTTGCTGCAGGATACGGTTGTCCAGTCAAGCAATGCCTAAGGCAGAATAGTGAAGACCAAGGGTTGAGAGAATAGGTTGGTGCTTTTCACCAAAAAATTCACGTGAGCAATCAGCTAGTCAACACCCACGCACACATGCATGCACACACACACACACACACACACACACACACACACACACACACACACACACACACACACACACACACATACACACATACACATATACACACACACACACACATGCCACATACACATACATACACACAAACATACATACACACATACATACACACATACATACATACATACATACATACATACATACATACATACATACATACATTCATTCATGCACATACATACACGTATGATCAACTGGCCTACAGAAAAGAAAGGTGAACTTCTGACCAGACTAGTCAGCAGCACTCCATTTAAACTGAAGACTTACACCAGGATCGAGCATGAGGACTTCTTCTTCGGAACTTGTTGCACCGTACAGTCGTACAATAGCAGCACTAAGATAGCTGTCTTCACAATCCCGACTGTCGGGATCGCTGATGTTGACGTTGGGAAACACCAGGACGTCGCTTGAGGTTTCATTCAGCGTCTGGTCGGCTTCAGTGAAAGACACCGCGCTCGGAAGAAGTTCAACTACGGGTGCGTGTTCATTGGCCACGTCCACTGCAACTGTGATGGTGGTCACATCGGATTCCATCATGCTGATCACACAACAACAACAACAACAACACAGGCCATACTCCAATGCAAGTCACATACAGGGTTGGCATTTTGCAATTATCCTGCGGTACAACTCGCCTAGCGCACGCTCTGAGAAGGCGCACACCTTCTCATGAGTACGGACATTGTCCTAAACATGGGTGCACTGCACCGCAGTGAAGTATGTTTGGAAAAGAAGTACTTTGTACTTTCGGCACTAAGCTCACTTTCCAGTTCCCCGAGGGGTCCAAGGAGTACGTCTTATCAGAATTCCACTGTACTTACTCCTCCAATCTGGGTGCCATTGAGAATGCGGCCAGCTATTCAGCACATGGGGTGACCAGCAGTTGGCCCGCACCCAGTTTCAAACAGCTGGCTTATAATTATTACCCACAGCTGTAGTTGAGCCTGTTGCGAAGACCGGACTCAACGACCGCATTGAAATGAGGAGGGTGACAACAATCATGACGTAATCCTGTTGCCTTTTGGTTTGCTTCGCCAAGCGAACATGAAGATATGCCTTCTCGTCAGACCAAGACTCAGTCCGTAGGGAATGATCAACACTATGATCCAGAAATGATGCCGGGTGTCTTCTCTTCCTATCTCTCTCTCTCCCCCCCCCCCCTCCTTCCCTTCCTCCCTTTTACCCCGGGGGACATACTGAACTTCAACAATAGCATAGTAACAGTCTACTATGGAACGCCGACCAAGTCATCAACAATCACTCACACATTCTCGTATCCAGTGGAATTCAATGCACCAATAGCTAACAAACCCATTCAGATGATAGTCCCCGGGAGTGCTAAGTCACTGTGCATATCATGTAGGTCGATATCAAAACGCGACAAACATGTTACTGCAAGCTACCCGTGGCAGTACTTACTCTGTGTTGAAGACAGTAAAGCTGATGTGCTGTTGCTGCAGGGCCCCTTCCTGGCACACAACAGCGTTGGCACTCATTTGGAACTGGAGATCACGGACTAAGTCAACATAGTCCTGAAGCGGTGCACTCCCCGTCAAAAGCAAGTTCGCAGAATTCAACCCCGTGAGCTGCAGGTCCAAGCAACGAGCATACGAAAACTGACAACTTACACGTACATCAAAGTCACAAAAAGGTTCACCCCAAAGACATGCTGTTTGACGGGTGACATGCTGGGGATATGCAGGGGATATACTTCCTGACGTGCGGATTGCATTAAGGCCAAAAAAGCGGATTCCGAAAAGCATACTACCCCACGCTGTAATATCTGAACGCAGGCTACTTCTCGTTGGGACAAAATTCAAAGAGAAAATAATGACATACATAGTCGAACTATTCGCGTTACTGAGGCAGAGTCTTACCGTAATGGGCCCTACAGTTTGAGGGGACGGAAGCGTCAACTGAGCTGACGGACTAGTGGAAATGTTGACTAGGCTGATAAGGCGATCCTCTCTGTGCAAAAGCAAGATGACCAAAGGAAAAGCAACAACAACGGAAAGAATAGGTAAACCAAAAAATCGGATCTCTTGAATATTTTACAATGCTACTTCAAAGTACATGGATGCGTGATCATGTTGACCATTAGGTCTGAGCCAAGCCCAGTAACCGATCATGCCCATACAGGGGCGTCGGAAGGTATTTTAGTGTGGTACGGTCAGCCATCTGAAGTAAAGTTTACTCGTGGGGGAGGGATGGCTGAGCCGAAAATTTTGGGAATTTAGAGCCCAAACAGTGTATTTTATTGATTCACGGGGTACTTGGGGCAAATAGTGGTATGGTCAATACCGGAGTGACCGTACCGTGTGCGACGCCCCTGCCATATACTCACAAACTCCACGTGATGATGAACGGTGTTGTATGTATGTGACCGTGAATGTTGTAGGAACGTGTTTGCCTCACAGAAAAAGAAAAAATCACGGTTCGTGTGAGACTCAGCTAGAGGCTGAGTTTTCCGTGTCCGTAGGAACGCCACCACCCTCTGCCTCACAGACCAACACAAGCATAGTGTTCGTTGTAGAGCTGGAGCAGTCGACGGAAGAGGACCCAGCCAATCGGGTACACCGGGAGCAGCCACCTACACAGCTTTGCACTCTTTCTCTCTCTCTCTCTCTCTCTCTCTATCTATCTATCTCTCTCTCTCTCTCTCTCTCTCTCTCTCGCTCTCGCTCCCTCTCTCTCTCTCTCTCTCTCTCTCTCTCTCTCCCTCTCAAGAGCGCCTTCTTTTGCTATCAAGGAATGGCTGGTTGACTAAAAGGCGGTCCGGCGAGACTTGGAGAATGCAGCTCCAAACTTTGATGGCTTTGGTGAAGCGTTTGCCTAGGTGTCACTGTGTACACAAGCACACAGGTACACATAAGGCTGCATGCGTAAAATGGACAAACTTTCAAAAGTGTGGCAACTGCAAGGAGAGTGCTCAATACACGGAAGGCACTGCTATTTACACATGCGAAGAGAATAGGTCCAACTGGACTACTTGGTCCGCGTCAGCAATATTGTCGCTTATCTTTCGACAATTTGAACTTAGAGTTTGGACATGAACGCGTGCACTTGAAGTGATAAAACTTGGTACGATGGACGGTAAGGTATAGAATGACAACTAGCTGTAAGGAATTTATTGTCCAAGGAAGGGTTCCTACTTTTTTCGGTCCTCCTCGTCGCTGCTCTCGACGCTGGTGACAAATATTTTTGCTCGGGATCGACTATCTTGCTTTTGCAAGCTCATCTCTCTACCTCTCCGTTACCTGGCTATTATCTAAACAGAAGTCGATCGTGATGGTCGCCTTCTCTATAGGACTTCGCGTGGGCAGTACGACAGCCTGTGTGATTCAAATCAGACGCCGTTCTTTGCAAGATTTTATTTTGAACGACGACGACGACGCGTACAGTACTTGCAAATCTCCACGATGCGCTGGATACTCCGAGCGTTGAGTTGGAGGTAAGGGAGCTGAGATCTCAGCTTGGCAAGCGATCCCTGAGGTGAGCGATCTCGGCCGTTCAGCAAAATGGAGCTGATTCCGAGTAGCCGATTACTTTCTTGTGGCTTGCGCTGCTCTTGCCTGCACAGCGTAAGATAATCTATTTTGATGCGGCGCTGTATCAATCAGAATCACCCACCCGTCGCTCTCGAAATCCACTCGAACTGTAGCTAGACCTTTCACGTACTAGTAAACTAACTTGCTAACCAAAATTGGGATGAAATGGGCTGCCAAGTGAACTTTGGCGACATATAAACAAAGCTGAAAGATAAGCGACAATATCGCTGACGCGGACCAAGTAGGTTGTAACATAAAGTCCACGCTGAAGCAACCATCAGACAACTGATCATAAACCCAGAACTTTAACTGATCATTATGATACTGTCCATGCGTGAGTCACGGCGCTAAATACAGTGCTGCTCAATGTAATCTGATGGCGTGGGTCAAGTAAGCGGTGCGGGGCACTGTGCAGCCCTAGACCTGCAAACACTGGGATATGGCCTGGTGCAGGTGCAAACTTGACCAATGCAATCAGATTTCAGTAAGCAGCACTCGAATTCTGTGAATACATGTATGTGTGAATTACACAAACATACACACATACACTCTCTCTCTCTCTCTCTCTCTCTCTCTCTCTCTCTCTCTCTCTCTCTCTCAGACTCTCACACATGCCCATCGCGAAAGCGATGATAGCAAACAGCTATGTTAGACATAGCACCTTGTGCTGGGATAACACCATTCAACAGCTTGCAAGGCTGATGAATTGACCGCCACTAAGTTTAGCCTGTATCCACCACACAGCTGATACACACACACACACACACACACGCGCGCGCGCACGCACACACACACACGCACACACGCACGCATGCACGCACGCACGCACGCACACACACACACTTATGCAAAACCCTATAGTACTCAGCATCTCCTATTTTAACCTCAACTCAAAAGCATGACTATATTATAGTTGTGTCAAGCTCAATGCTCCGGTCTGTATCATGCCCAGCAAACAGCAACGAATCCTCTACATCTCCACTCACTCTACACCATCAGCATCGCTGATGTTCATATCAGGGAAGAACATAAACGGCAGAGGCAGCATTGTTGCAGAATAGTTGACCGAGTCTGATGAGAACTCCAGCTGTTAACACAAACACAGCAGCAGCAGCCAGGAAAGTTGAGAAGGTGAAGTGAAGTGAGATAGATTCTTGTTGGATGAAACTTGCCATGCACAGAAAGAAAATTAATTTTCAATTTCCTTCCAGTCCAGTACGGCGTATAGGAATAGGGAATTGTGATTTGATCAAATGCACCGGGCCCTTACCACACACCACAAGGCACTGCCATAACTAAAAGGTATCAATCAAGGCAGCTCGAAAGAGAGCTATATGCGGCACCGGGGTGCAGACTGTGGTACATGAATACTGAAATACAGTGAAACAACCTACTGTCTCCTGTTTTTACTATACAAACTCTGGGCTGTTCAAACTCAAACATATATTCCAGAACGGAAATGGAGAATACTGTAAGTAACAGATTTTTGGCCTGTTTAAATTCGGCCTCCCAGGGCTATAAGCCTCTAACACATTCTGGCCGCATTAAAATTTCGGCCTGTATTGCTGCTGCCTGTATACGCAAGCTTGCAAAACAAATTTTCGGCTGCAACAAAATTTAGGCCGAAAATGTCCAGTGAGAAGTGAAGTTTCCTAAGAATACCCAGGCCGAAATAGCCGAAAATAAATATGCGCCGAATATTTGCTGACTTACAGTAACTGGCTATGCATACCTACCTAACAGGTGGTGCTACCACAGCCATACCTACCTAACAACAATTTCAAAAACCAGTAGGGGTAGGTTGCACTTTTTGAAGTTCCCGTAAATCTTTCTTGGTAGAGCCCAGCCGGCATCAGGCCGGACTGGAGGTAGTTTCCGTAGGGTAGCAGTAAGTGTTTCTAGTAGTGCTCGTAGAAATTGGTGACCTCCGCCATGCCTGGGGCCACCACGAGAACAAACACTCGCGCGACTGCCCTGAGTGATGAAGAGCTGAGGCTGATGGCGTCGTTGCCGGGCATTGAGTTATCTGTAGTAGAAATCCTGAAAACATTGGCCGCACTTGTCTCGGAATCGGCTGATCGGGAGACGCGCCTAAACAAACGGGTTGACGAGCTGTCAAGGCAGCTCAAAGATGTGAACGAAGAGTTAGTGTCTCTCCGAGAATCCGCCATTGCCTTGCGAAAAGCTACCCCAAGGCCAGTTTAAACACAGCAGGGTACGGGTGCGGGTCAACCTTCGCGTAGGCGTACCAAAGCAGGCAGTGCGGGTGCAGCAGGTACTCGAAAGCATGACACCACGATGTCCCGTAGCGTCTCCAGCAACATTTCCCGTAGCGGTGACGAGTGTGAAGAGGATGGCAGCGTCCCCTGCAACATCTCCCGTAGCAGTGACGAGTGTGAAGGGGATGGCGACCAAGATGCAACTTGTGTAGACGAAGACAGATTCCAACCAGTCCAGAACTCAAAGCGGAGTAAGAAGCAGTGCGTGCTCCAGGTGATCGCAGATGACAGCTGGAAGATGGTGTCGTCAGAGCCTCCCAGGGCGAAGAAAGCTGTGCTGTACGTTGGCAACCTAGGCGACCAATGCACTGAGGAACGCCTCAGGGAGTTTGTGCAACACAGAGCAGCTGCGGTTGGGACATCTGTGGATGTGCACGATTGCAGTATGCACGAATCAGCAACGGGCAAAATCTCAGCGAGACTGACAGTTGACGCTGCAACAGTTCCTACAATTACCGCTGCAAACTTCTGGCCCCGGCCACTTTATGCCAGGCAATGGCGTTTCAAAGAAAGCAGTGGAGCACGCCATGATAATTCTAGCCCACCTGCCAAAACTGATGACATCACCAAGTCTGACCCTCCTCCTCAGAACAGTGATAGTCTCCCACCTGCCGACCCTCTCCTGAGCAATGACCAGTAAGACGTTGAAATTGCTGGTTACGAATGCCTTTGGTATCCGTTCAAAGTTTGGCGAATTTCAACATACCCTTCTGGCATCTGATGCAGATATTGCTGTAGTCACAGAAACCAAGCTGACCCTGGATAAGATGACGCAAGCCGAAGTGACTCTTCCTGGGTACTCCCCTCCAGTAAGACGAGACCGAACACCACAGGGTGGAGGCGTGGCTGTGTGGGTGAAATCCCACCTAGCTTTTCAGGAACTGGAAGCTGTTCCAACCCTTGACCAAGAAGTTGTATGGCTTTCTATCCGCATAAGACCTGGCCGCAAAGTTGTCTTGTGTGCTGCCTACCGCCCAGGGTCTCTTCCTGGCAACGATATCAGTATGGTAGAGTACTTGGACCAGACCATCGACGTTGCCCGGGTGGATGCACAGCACCTCATCATCGCTGGCGATTTCAATGCGCACAACACTGCCTGGCTGGGCAGCAGTAGAACAACTCCAGCTGGGGAGAAACTGGAGGACCTCTGCGCACTACATCACCTCCAGCAGCATGTGACGGAGCCTACTCGTGGAAATGCCCTCCTCGACCTCATCATGAGTGACCTGGGCAACCCGACGGTCCGGCTCGGCCCCCCAATTGGTAGATCTGACCACGCCACCATCTTGGCTGAATTCAAGACAGAACTATGTCGAGAGCCCAAGACGGCCAGAACAGTCTGGCAATATGGCCGCGCTGACTGGGACAGACTAAACCACCACCTTAGGAGTGTGGACTGGGATGCCCTCATGTCTGAGGATGCAAACAGCAGCTGCACCAATATTACCTCTGCCATCATAGATGGAATGAACCAGTTTATCCCATCCCAACTTCTCTGTACTCGGCCCTCTGATCCCGCTTGGTGGACGCCAGCTTGCAGCAAGGCCGTGAAGGCGAAACAGAGTGCCTGGAAGTCCCTCAAGAGACGACCAGACTCGCCCCAATGTCAAGCTAACTATACTCTCGCTGTCCACCGGTCTTCTGATTGCCTACGTGATGCCCAGAATCACCATCTAGCAATAGTCCGTGCACGACTCCAGACCGGCAGCCTTCGAGATAAACAGTGGTGGTCAACCATCAAGCAGTCCATCGGAACCTCCCGAAATAGCTCCATCCCGATTCTTGTCGACCCTGCTGGCAAAGAGCATGCCACGAACATCGAGAAAGCAAACTGCCTCGGTCAATACTTCGCGGAGAAATGTAGCCTTGGTGCCAATGACCTGCCAGACACACCTCTGCCCCCTATTCGCCAACGCACTGGCAATAGGCTGAAGACCGTACACTTCCGCCCTGCCACAGTCCAGCGAGCTCTCAAGAACCTGGACGCTTCAAAAGCAACTGGCCCTGACGGCATTCTGGCGCAAGTGCTCAGGAAGTCAGCGCAGTCACTCGCCAGCCCTCTGGCAAAGCTATTCACCCAGTGCTTCCGGGACGGGGTGCAACCTGCATCCTGGAAGATCGCGAACGTTGTCCCTATTTTCAAGAAAGGCTCCAAGTCTACCCCGAAGAACTACCGTCCGATTTCCCTCCTCTCTATACTCTCTAAGGTGATGGAGGCCATCATCAATCGCAGCATCACTAACTTCCTGGAAAGCAATCAGGTCCTCTCCGGACGGCAATTCGGGTTCCGACGCGGCCTGGGCACGACTGATCTTCTCCTCTCACTTCAGCATGAGTGGAGTCGGACGTCCAATGCTGGGGGTGTGATCCGAGTCCTTGCTGTCGACGTGGCCGGCGCATTTGACAAAGTGTCGCACCGCGGTGTAGTTCACAAGGCCAGATGCCTTGGGCTGACTGGACCCCTGCTCTCATGGTTGAAAAACTACCTAGAGAGCCGCCAGATCCGGGCCGTAGTTGGTGGACAAACATCAGCCACACACGCCATCCGAGCAGGTGTACCTCAAGGAAGCATCCTGGGGCCCACTCTCTTCTTGATCTACATTAATGACGCTGAGGACCACCTTCCCCAATCGACCAGCCTTGCCACGTACGCAGACGACACAACGCTCTACAAGTGTATCCGGTATCTCGGCAACCTCGCAGCTGACTGTGATGATCTCCAGACCGCCGTCAATGCCCTTGCTGCCTGGGGTGCGACCTGGCGAGTGACATTCGAGCCCGCCAAGTCATACCTACTCCACGTCAGCCACCACCGTCGGCCCTGGGACTGCCCTCCGGTCACATTCCAAGGTGAAATCGTTCCTGAAACCCAGTGCCTGAAGCTACTTGGGATAACCTTCGACAGTCAACTGACATTCTGCCAGCAGATTCGACAGTCAGCCCTGCGCGCCACACAGCGACTGGGCTTCCTGAAGAAGGCCTCAGCAGTGCTTGACCCTGGCTGCCGTCTCACGGTCTACAACGGCTTTGTTCGCCCAGTCTTAGAGCATGGCATGCTAGTCTGGATGGGTGCTTCTCAGACGGTGCTGGCCCAACTCGATGCTGTACAGCGGAGAGCCCTGCATCTGATCGGCGAAGGCGCATATCTGCCAAGCCTCGAACTCCGGCGCAAAGTGGCTGCTCTCTGCTATCTCTACAAAATCCACTACCTGACAGGCCCACAGATGCTAACCCGAATGCTGCCCCCTTCCCAAGCAGTACCAGAAGTAGGAAGTAACGAGCGGGTTCTGGGACAGGGGGCGCCCGGGTCCCAAAAAATGGGGTATTATTGAAAAATGGGGTACTAATAGTACCCCATTTTTGCGGTGAAAATTATTTTTGGCCCGGTTTTTTTGCGGATAAAAATATGTGCCAGGGGGTGCCCCTACCTCAAAAAAAAAGGGGGTATTATTGAAAATATGTATTGGGGTGTTATGCTCTACCCTAAACAATAAGGTAATATGGTGTCATGATTTGGAATTCTACATGTATCATTAATTTTGATTTTTAGGGTGTGGGTAATATGTCCTACCCTACATCATAATATTGCATTCCGATGTCTAAAATATTACTATTTCAAATGTCAATGTTATCTCACTTTTTCCAATTTTATATTAATCAGAACTCATAGTTTTGCAGTATTTTGACTTGTAATTTCAATTTTTCGGATCATTTTCCGGTCTTCATCACGTTGTACATCGATCTTCGCCCGTCGTCCCAGCAGCGGAGCAGTCTGCCCGTATCCCGCCATGATGATGATCCATAATCCTCTACCCCATCAACAACGATCTTCGGTAGACGCTGGTGTTTCTCACCGCTCACGAGAACGCGCGTCGACACCCTGCACACATACTCCGCAATCTCCATGGGAGTCAAGTCCACCCGATCCGGGTGAAGAAGCATGGGTCTTAGCTCGTAGGCTGTGCCCAGATCGGTGAGTAACCGAACGGTTAATTCATCTTTATTACTACAAGAAAATAAATAGAACTTCTCTACATATGGTTCGGAGGTTGACCAGGCCGACATCTTTGATCTGATAGAGAGAGAAATTCTGGAGACGGTACTCGATCATCCAATGGACTCAAAAATGAATTGTGAACCAAAAATGAAATTATATCAGGTTTTATAGGTCCCGCCAAGTCCCGTCCCGCCGGGTCCCGCCTCCGGGAAGGTGACGACCTTGGAGAACACGGTGAACACGGTGCGCGCCAAAAACCAAAACGTTGCTCGCGACATGCCGTGTCTTTTTTTGTTCGGGTTTGGAATCTTTCCATTGACATAAATCAATTAGTTTTCCATCTATGTCCGTAATCGAAAGGTCCATGAGGTGTAGAATTTTTCTAGCTTTCCTCTCGTATAATTCTTTTCGACATACAACAATTCTTTCTCGAACTTTTAGCTGCTGGAATACCGGATTCATCTTGACCTCAGATGCACAGATCAGGCATCCATGCATTGACGTCACAGTACATCATTGCAGCACTGATTTCACTGTGAAGTGTGGAACATGGGTCAATGCGCGATAAAAGGATGAACGTGATTTCAGCGGGAAGTGCGCTAATTGGTCACATGTTTTCAGCGGGAAGTGCGGTAAGTGGTTAATTGTTTCCAGCGGGAGATGAGTGGATTGGTTAATTGAAAAACAACCAGTTATTCCGAATTCAACTATTACGAAAACCCTATAAAAATAGGTCCTCGGTACCTTGTCAAGCCATTGTGTGGTTGTCCGCCACCACCCCTGCTCAGGATGGAACCCCTTCGGAAGAAACCTCGTCAGTCTTTTGATGTAGTGAGATCATCTGATCTGTTGCAATTCTTTAGTTATTGTCCTGATCAAGAGTTTGCAGATGTACTAAAGTTTTTCTCTCATGTTCTACCGTCGCTGGAGCTGCTTCTTGAAGAGAATATTGAGCAATGGGGTCAGTACAAGTGTTCTTTGGTAGTTCAGGTGGTGATGCAGAAGCTGAATCCTGCTACAGGACAAATGGTTTCCAACACATTCTTCTTCCGATCGAGTACAACGCTGGTGCTCAACACCATGGAGCTGAGGGACCTTCTCAGTACAATGATTGCTCAGATCAACGCTCGTCTTGATGATTTCGTTCGTCATGGATCAGGTTGGGTAGTTGAACGGATTTCCTGTTTACACATCGAAATGTCACGCTATTGTGTACTTGGAGGAAGTTCGTACATCCCCTTGCCACCGGAGTTGAAGTCGAAGAAGGCCATTGTTAACGTGCAGAACACTGACAACAAGTGTTTACTGTAAGTATAGCAGTGGGGTTTCAGTGTTGTGTTATGGTGTATGGATTGAACTGTATGCCGCCTGTCCATGTCTTATGTCATCCGTACTTTAGATGGTCAATACTGGCTGCTAAATTTTCGGCAGACAAGTCTCGTCCATGTCGTCAATCGTCGTACGCAGAACATGCGGATACTGTGGATGTGAGCGGCATCGAGTTTCCAGCAAAACTGGAAGACATACCAGTCATCGAAAGACTGAACGACGGTCTTTACATCAACGTCTTCGGATATGAAGAGAAAGTCATATATCCGTTAAGAATTTCTCAGCAACCGCAGTCCGCCATCAATGTATTGCTCATCCAAGACGAACGCAATGACGTGGAGGTGCAGCACTGGGTGTGGATAAAGTCATTCAGTCGTCTTGTTGCTACTGGAGCACGTCGAGCACATTTCGTCTGCTTCAGATGTCTCTCAACACACGTCACGGAGAAGGCATTGAATAATCATATGATGTACTGCAGTGAACATCCTGAAGCTACGGTGGAGATGCCAAAGGCTGGCGATAGAGTGATGTTCAGGAATGTGAACAAGCAGCTTCAAGCCCCATTTGTAAGTAGAACACACTGTGGTCTGTTTTTTTTTTTTTTTCTTTCTTTACTGCACATGTTTCTTGACTCTGAGTGTTCACCTTTCTGCTGTTTTACTCGGTGTTGTCTCTGCAGCTATTCCTAATTCTCTATCTGTCTTTTCTGCTGTTTTACTCGGTGTTGTCCCTGCTGCTATTCCTACTTCTCTCTCTCGCTCTCTCTCTCTCTCTCTCTCAAATGCAGGTGATCTATGCCGATTGTGAGGCTTTCATAGAACCTCTGTCCGCTGACAATAAAATCGGTCATTCGACATTCCAAAAGAACAAGCATGTAGCCTGTTCCTGTTCGTACATTGTAGTACGATCTGATGGCGTCGTCACGAACCGTTTCTTCTACCGTGGAGAAGATTCTATGTTCTGTTTTCTGCTGTCACTTGAGCAAGAGGAGGAGACTATCCGTGATGAGCTTCTAGCATGTAATGCTGGTCAAATGATCATTTCAGAAAGTCAGCAACGTGAATTTGAAACGGTAGTCTCCTGTTGGATCTGTGGTGAAGCGTTGGGTAGCGATCGTGTACGTGACCACTGTCACATCACCGGTGCTTATCGTGGTGCAGCACACAACCATTGTAACCTGAACATGCGGATTGAGCCGTTCAAGATCAAGATTCCTGTGATCTTTCATAACTTGAAGGGATACGATTCTCATCACATCATATCTGCCATTGGGAGAACGTCCATTGATGAGATTACGTATGTGAACGAGAAAGGACAAGAACGGGTACGTTACATATGCGTGGTGTGTGTGTGTGTGTGTGTGTGTGTGTGTGCGTGTGTGTGTGCGTGGATCATGATGTTTTTCTAAGAAGGAAGATCATTACTATGTTGGTACTCATATTCACGTTTATATGATTGATATTCATCTTTACAGCTGCACCTTAAAACTGTGTCTCCTCTTTTTCTTTCTTCTTCTCAGACCAAGCGTCTCGGTGCTATCAACGTGATTCCCATCAACAGTGAAAAATATGTCACATTCGGATGGAGACAGTTCCAGTTCATCGACAGCCTGGCATTCTTGAACACCTCCCTAGACCGGTTGGTTTCGGCTACACCACCAGATGCATTCGCCCTTCTATCCGCACGATTTCCAGACGAGGATGAACGCAAACTGTTGACACGAAAGGGTGTCTACCCGTATGAATATATGGAGTCGTACGACCAATTCGAAGAAACGCGTCTACCACCCAAGGATGCATTCCACTCAACGCTAACGAACACGGTGAGTAGTGTGACAGATATAGTAGATCTTTCTCTCTTTCTTTTTTCACCATCTTACTTCGAAGTACTAAAATAAGCCAAAATGTGTTTGAACGCTTCCTGCAGCTTCATACTAAATAATTGATTGTGTGGGCGAACTACTAAAATAAGTTCGTTGATTTGTTTTTCTTTTTGGTGTACATTTTCTATTCCCTAGGGTATCAGTGATGAAGATTATGCCTATGCGCAAACAGTATGGACTGCGTTTGACTGTGAAGATCTAGGAGACTATCACGACCTCTACCTGGAGACTGATGTGCTGCTGTTGGCTGACGTTTTCGAAAACTTCAGAAGAACTGCTCACGCAACCTATGGATTGGATCCCGCTAATTACCTCACCTTACCGGGATTTGCCTGGGATTCGCTGCTGAAAATGACGAAGGTGTCCCTTCATCTCATTTCCGACATTGACATGTTCAACTTCATTGAGCATGGCAAAAGAGGTGGCATAAGCATGGTGTCCGCTAGACACGCCACCGCCAACAACAGATATCTATCGGAATACAATCCAGACGAGCCGTCAAGCTTCATCCAATATTTAGATGCGAACAATCTATATGGATGGGCCATGTCTCAACCCTTGCCCGTGTCGGACTTCTGCTTTGAAGCAGTGACGGATGATCTTCTGGAGTCGGTACTCGATCATCCAATGGACTCTTCGACGGGATACATGGTGGAGTGCGATTTAAGGATTCCAGATGGTGTGCATGACATGATGAATGATTATCCGTTGGCTCCTGAGCAGATGAAGGTGACACGAGATATGCTTTCTCCATATCAGACCCACATGGCAGAGAAACTAATGGTAAGTCATGGTCTATCTGGTGGATATGCTTGTATTAATCTTCTAAGGTTTGTGTATATCTATACTGTACTCTTGTAGGTGAGCGGTTTGGAAGCGAAGAAACTGGTGCCAAATCTACTACCGAAAGAGCACTATGTTCTGCACTACAGAAACTTGCAGCAGTATGTGTCCTTGGGTGTGGAGATTACAGATGTGCATCGTGTGCTCTCCTTCACACAACACCCATGGATGAAGCCATACATCGACACTAATACTGACCTGAGAAAGCTATCAACTTCTGATTTCGAGAAAGACTTCTATAAGGTGGGTACTCCACTTCATGTGTGTGTGTGTGTGTGTGTATTTAGCGATAGTGTGGGATCTAGTATGTACTGGAAGTGTGAATGACCTGAAGATAACAGTTTTCTTATTGTTGTTTTTCTTGTCTTTTCTTTGTATGCCTGTTTATCATAGTTGATGAACAATGCTGTATATGGCAAGACCATGGAAAACGTTCGAAACAGAGTAAACATCAAGCTCATTCGTGAACAGGATGAAAAACCACGTCTCCAGAAAAGCATCAACAAACCTTCGTACATCCGCAGTGTAGCCTTTGAGAACGATCTGATAGCAATCGAGTTTGCCAGGACAAAGGTGACTCTCAATAAACCCATTTATGTGGGTACAGCCATCCTCGATCTGTCGAAGCACTTGATGTATTCCTTTTACTATGAAGTTCTCCTACCCCGCTATGGACAAAATGTACGTTTGCTCTACACTGATACTGATAGTCTGATCGTACATATTCAAACCCATGATCTGTACACCGATATGTCAAACAACATAACAGCCTATGACACATCCAACTATTCACCATCCCACCACCTGTACAGCACGGTCAACAAGAAGGTGGTAGGGAAGTTCAAGGACGAACTAGGTGGCAAACCCATCAAGGAGTTCATTGGTTTGCGGAGCAAGATGTACGCATACCGCTGTGAAGACAACGACGACAATGGCAAGCGTGCCAAAGGTGTGCAGAGAAGCGTGTTGAAAAACACCATAACCGTCGATGATTATCGAACATGTCTCGTCGAGGAGTCTCAGCTGAAGAGAACAATGAATGTTCTTCGAAGTCGACGACATTGCATTCACGGAGAGGAGCTACGCAAGATTGCCCTCAGTGGATTCGACAGTAAGCGTTACATTCTGGAGGATGGTATCAACACCCTGGCATTCGGACACAGGGATATTCCAAAGCACTGAGGGATTTCCACACATACTAGAGCATATGTCATATCTTCTCATGAAATACATTGTAAATACTATGCGATTCATAATATTCACGTTAATCCAAAGCATGAGCTACATTGTACATATGAAATGCTAATACTTTTTGAGATCATTCACATCCTTCTTTGTTAACCAGGTATGGAATTTTTCGTCTTGATAACCCCTCCATTTGACGAGCCGACTGTTCTTGTTGTATTTCAACACCTTATCGAATCTCAATCCTGTGTGTCTGGCATGTTGTAGCTCAGCTCCATAGAACTGTCCTTGAATGACTTCTCCCATCAGGTCTTGAACACGATAGGTGTGGGGTACAGTGGGTAGGACATCTTTTACCACGAACACTTCCTCTGTCCAGTTGGGCGTGTACCCTTTCTCGAAATGACGTTTAGCTACAGCCAAACGCACATCATCACCCACTTTGAATTTTGCTGGTGATTGCTTCGAGTGTACGTCTGCATCTTTTGGTTTTCCATCAAGAGAAGCTTTCGTGGGACTCATGCCGATACTGCGATGTTTCGAGCTGTTGTACTTGACCATAAGCTGAGGAAGGACGTCAAGATACTGTGTCGTAGCTTTCTCCGTGAAATGGCGCCACATTCTGCCTTTCAGTGTTCTATTGAAGCGTTCCACCACCACGGCTTTTCCTTCGTTGTGGGTGCTGTACATGATGATGTTGTGATCCTTGACCCATTGCTTCATTGTTGCATTGTAGAACTCCTTGCCTTCGTCTACCCATAGTTTTTGTGGTACCCTGTTCGATGTTTTCAGGATCATGTCGAATGCATCCCTGACAGCAGAGCCAGTTTTGGTTTTCAGGGGTACTGCCCAGGCATAGCGACTGTACAGATCGATGACGGTCAGCAGGAATTTGTAGTTCTTGTTGCTTCGGGCAAACCGTTGCATATCCACTAGATCGGCACTCCAGATGTGATCCACAGACCTGCTCTTCACCTTGCGTCTTTTGAAATGCACTCGTCTGGGTTTGTGCAATTCGTTAGCCAGTTGCGTGTGGAATGGTGTGGACTGCGACTTCTTCTTCTGTCTTCCATCATGAAGTGCTTTTTGCACTTTCGTATCCCACAAGGCTCCACCACCTCGCAAGACACCTAAACTGAGAACCAGTTGATCGTTTTCCAGCTTTTCATCCTCATCGAAGACTCTTCGGAAAGTTCGAAGTGCTTCATCCAGACCATATTTGGAAAATAGCTTTCCCATCAATATGGCATACCATCCACATACTGCTGTGCTTCTGTCTTGAACGGCTTGGGTGTTGGTGATGATCTTACAGTCTGCATAGGCTTCTTTAAAGAAATCGCACAGTGCAGGTTCAGTGTAATCTTGCTCCATAGTGTATAGACTGCGTCCGAAACTGTCAAAAACCAGGATCACGTTTTGCTCGCGACACACGGTCAACCAATGATGTCCACCTTCCGGTGCATCGTACACCGGTAGAACGTTGTCGGTGTTGACGATACAAAAGTCTCCATTGTTCAAGGGTGGTAAGAGGTCGTAACTTGTACACCCCACGAACCCTCCAACACCATTCAATCTTCCTTTGATGTCGGCACTGCTGAGAGGGTAGTCCATTCTTGATCATAGCCTGAAAATTTTCGCGCACGTGATCACATTGAACGTCCACTCAGGATATCCTTGATGATACGAGTGATCCTGCTTTTATCCTTCAGAACCTCTTGAATGAATGATGCATCGTCCACCATCACCTTTTGTGCTCTGATCATGAAATGCTCGGGATGGATCAATTTTGCTTCAGTTGTTCTACCATACGTAGAAGTCATATCGTTGAGATCTTGAAACTTGAGCTGCGATCCTGGTACAGCTAGCACTAGGGTGGCTAGTTCATGAATCTTTCGTTCTGATCGAAGGAATCCATCGACATGTTTGTGGATTCCCACCGCACCCGCTATGGTTGCAAACGGGTACCTGGACATGTAGATGCGATTCGTCTCGTTGACCAGAGTAGTGTAGTCGTTCATCGTCTGCGTCTTCAGGGCATCCGCAGCCGCTTCCACCCGACTCCTGAACCTCAGTCGATCTTCATCGTAGAGTTGCAGCAGTTGTGATCGGCTTGTGAAATAGTTGCTCTTCAAAAAGGTTGCCGGTATATTTGTATGTCGGAGGAAACTGTCCAGGATTTGTAGGATCCATCGGTCAAATTCGTGGTCTTGTAATAGATTGAAAGGCACCGATGTTAAAGGTGCCTTTCTCTTCTTCCTGACATCTGCAACGGAATCGCGAACTTGATCGGTAGTGGAATCATAGTTGAGTATGTTGGATGCAATCACATTTCTCACAGACGGGTAACTGATGTGATCGGGATTGTTTTTGAAGTGGGTGTCATATAGACGCTTTACTCGCGGATCAGCTTGCAGTTCCAACAGGGTGGAGGTGCTCAAACTGTGATCTGGCACTTGGGAAAGAACTTTCTTGACGCTTTTCAAGTAGGTATTGTAGTT